AAAAAAACTAAATCAGTATTTGGCGAACGCCGTATTTAAAGGATTAATGTATCGGTTGATATTACTTGTATCTGGTAACATTGGTCTCTAGTATTACAAATATTTTCCTACCAACCAGACCACCAATATATAATATCCACAATATATAATATTCGGGTAATACTGGTCTCTAGTATTACAAATATTACCGTACAGACAATCAATCTATAATATGGGGTATCTGCTAACACTGGTATTACATAATCCCTCGTATTTATCCAAATGTTTTTTCAGTCCTACATTAGAACTCTCTCCCTAAAAGGACTCCCAAAAAAAAAAGTTATAAAAATAAAACACATGTTCACACAAAAAATTCCTCTGCAAGAACGTACAAAACCACACCACCATCACCACCATTAACCAAATGGGTGCATGCAAAAGAGAACAAGCTATCCGGGCCAAGGACTTGGCCCTCCAGAAGATGTCTGCCCGTGACTTCCAATCTGCACGAAAACTCGCCGCACGGGCCCGCCACCTCTGCCCGGACCTAGACGGCCTCAACCCGATCAGCCTCGTCTGCTCAGTCCACTGCTCTGCCGATGCTTCCCGGGCGGCAGACGACGACGAGCTCGACTGGTACAAAATCCTCCTCGTGGGCCCCACCGCCGACGAGGCCGCCGTCAGGCGGCAGTACAGACGGATGGCACTCTGTCTGAGACAGGACAAAAATGGGCTTCCGGGTGCTGACGAGGCATTCGGGCTCGTCCGCCGGGCCCGGGCCGTGCTGGCGGACACCGAGGAAAGAAAGGCATATGATGGCCGGAGGAAAAACGCCAGCTTGTCGGGTTCCCGTTTGCAGGGCAACGGGGCAGAGGATAATAGGTTCGGGTTTTCGGGTTTTCGGAGCGGATACCGGGACAATAATAGCCCTGCTTCTCTGGAAAAATCGAGCAATGTACTGAGTTTTTCGGGTAGCCAGAATGATATGCCAAAATATTCCGGGTTTTCTGGTTTTCGGTGTGACAATCGTGTTTTTCCTGAAAAATGCAATAAAGACAGTGGCTTTACAGCCTTCAAGGATGATAACATCAGTTTCTCCAAGTTCGAGGAGATGGGTTTTGTGAGATTCAAGGATTCGGGTTTGTCCGGATTCCACATCCGGCCTGACCCGTCTCCCGATCAGGGATTCACAAGACGTAGCATCACTAAGGAGAATAATTTGCCGGTAAACGGTATTAAACCTTTCGGTTTCGCTGCCGTGCAGGGGAATGTTCTCAAGAAGTTTGGTCCTAAACCTCATTCGAAAGTTACGAAGCTGAAAAGGCAAAATAAGAAGAAAACAGCCGTGAAAGTAGGCGAAAAGGGAAGCAGCCGAGTGGAAAAGTTGCCCGTGGATTTGAAAAAACTCGAGTACTCTGATTCGGAACTGAATGATTTTGAGAAGGGGAGGGCGAAAAGAAACTTCGGCCCGGGACAAATATGGGCACTTTACGATACCTTAGATGCCATGCCGAGATTCTATGCTCTGATCAATAAAGTTATCTCTGACGATTTTAAGGTTGAGGTTACGTGGCTCGAACCGTGTCCTAACAACGAGGACGAAAAGAAATGGCTGCACAACGGCTTGCCAGCTTCTTGCGGTAAATTCAGGCCCGGTGCAAGCGAGATAATAGAAGATCACGCGGTTTTCTCGCATTTAGTGAAATGGAAGAAGGACATTCGGAATATATATCACGTGCATCCTAAAAAGGGCGAGACTTGGGCTATGTTCAAGAACTGGAGTTTGGAATGGCGTTTGAACCCGGGAAATCACATTAAACGGTTCGAGTTCGATTTTGTGGAGATTCTATCCGAATACCGGGCCGGGTTTGGTGCAAAAGTTGCGTTTTTGGGTAAGATTAAGGGCTTCTCGACTCTTTTCTGCCGAATGAGTGAGAAACGAGTGGTTCCGGTGAATGACAGGCTTAGGTTCTCTCATCGTGTTTCGTCGTTTAAAATGACAAGCAGCACGGGCTTGAATGGTGATTCGAGTTCGTTTGAACTTGATCCGGCTTCGTTGCCAGTAGGGTTTGGTTGTTCGGAAATTTCGAGCATCAGCGGGATTTTCATGTGAGGCGTGCCAGTTTTGCAGAGGGAAAAGTTAATGATTTTTGTTAAGAGTGGTTCGCTCAAGATTCAAGAAGTGTAGTGCATTAGAGACCAATTTAGGTGAAGAATGAGTAATATGCATTTTCATGATTTAGGAGTTTTTCTTGTGTTCTTTTTCAAGCAACTGTAAATACGCAAGTTGCCTGTGAAGTTTTTAGCATATATTTTTCCCTTAAAAGTTGAGAAAGTCTAACTACAACATGAAAAGGCGCAGTTTAAACTGACTTGTCAATGGAACTGTTGGAATTGAACATATTCATTTAACAGTTCTTGTTAACTAATCGAGCTCGTCATGATAAATGAGCCGAACTGAGCTCAAGCCATAACGAGCCAAGCTCACGAGCGGCTCATTCATTTAATAGCTCTTAACAACACAGGAACAAAACTTGTTCACATATCAGTTAGAACTTGGAACAATTTATCAGCATCACACTCACAACAGTGCTGCATTTCGAATTCGATAAAATATAATGAAACTTGATCCATTGCACCAAATTCCTCCAACATGTGCTTCTTTTACAGCTTCAATAGTATTATAGTATAGATAAACAATTTCATTATCAACTTCGCAAGTACAAATGAAAATGACAATAAGTTTCTATGGTCATGCATGTCAAATAAAATGATTCCTAATGCTACTCATTTCCAAATAACTCCCTGGACACTTGAAATCACACATTCCCTCCTACTTATGAATAAGTGCGCGGCACAGCTTGACATAGTTCAGACAGCAACAGCTTCAGGTCCCAAATATTCAAAATTTAGCCTGCAAAAAGACGTGGAATCATCACTAGTATTCACAAGAACAAATCAAGAAAGTTTGACAAATGCGACATAAACAAATTCTCGAGCAATCCTTCAGTAAAAAACAGCAACATATATGAGAATCCACATTTGGACTTTAACTTTATGTTTAAAATATAATACGGGCACATACAAGCACATGCGCATGTGTGTGCGTGAAATATAATCTGTATATATTTTTCGCAGCTTTTCTTCGACTCCTTTCTCTAAAAATAATACACAGATGAACTCTTAGCTACAAGACCTTTCAGTTAGAAAAATGACAAAAAAAGAGATGGGCATACCCGTCTTTTTACAAATCAATGACTCGTCTGAGAGGCTTGTTGATAAGAGTATCCTCCGGTAGTTGGAGGTGCAGTTGCAGTAATAGTAGTCCCGGTTGGATTAACACTGTACATTTGTGTAGGATTTGGTGGTGCCCCGCTTGAGTTAGGAGGTGGGCCCGCTCCTGAAATCTGCGGAGGGGCACTTGTATTTTGTGGGCCTGAAGCTGGAGGCCCACTCGGCTGTAAGGGTTGCATTGGCGGCAGCACAGGGGCAGATGCGTAACCTGACAACCACCAAAAATGAAAAGTTCAACCTGACTGATTTTTATTTCATTCTCGTTTGGCAATTTCAATTTGCTAGGATTAAAAAAAAAAAAAGAATATAATATATATTTTACTTTTTATTTATTCAATAAAAGAAATGCAAGATAGCAAGCTTACCAGGTGTGCCGGGGATAGGCATTGGCATACCGTGTAGAGGCCTCATGCCTGGAACGATCGGGGCCCCACCTGGAAAAGGTAGAGTATGAAGTGGCAGCATGACAGGCTGGCGTGGCGGCCCTCCGGGGAAAGCAGCAAGATGCTGATTATAAGCTGCACCAATTTGTTGGTGCTCCTTGATTCTCTGCTCAAGCAAAAGCTGTGTTTGCTGTTCTTCGAATTTTTGGTAGTAAGCCCTTATGTTTGCCTGGGTACAGTACAATACAGATAACATTCAGTCGTCAGTTTAATTACAAAGCTTACGAATCTCTTTCTACACATTTTATACATATATACATTTCTACTAATGCTCTGAAAAGAGCTGTACCTTGTGCTTGTAACCAGAATTGTGCTGCTTCCTGACTGAAGGCTGGCAAAAGAAAGAATATATATAAAAAAAAAAATTAAAACAAAGAAATCAGTGGACCAGAAAACGTGGCACAGTGCACAGAAACAGGCTGAATAAGTTATGTATTCGGATGGACATGAATAAAATGTACTATAAGAGAAAAAATGATGAACGCGATTAGTTTGAGAAAATGATGTCAAACCACAGCATAACATATTACAAGTGCAGTACACACTGCATAATATAACAAAGTAACAAACCATGTTAATGTGAGAGATAACATGCAGAACAAGTGGGTGGATTCTCAAGTATCAAACCGCTACTATCAATGTAAAACAAGCTACAGATGAGAAGCCTAACGATCTCATTCCATTAAGTCTTGAAGAGGTTGTCAAGTATGACTTTATTCACGGGCAAAGTTTGACTGGCTTGCTACAGATGAGATTACATCACCCTATGATAAAGATATGAAACACATGCTAATCACCGCTACTAGAACCGATTCTAGACCTTTGATCTTATTCTGACAAATTTAGAAGTGTGCTGGCCATAAAACGGGACAGTTTTGGTTCCCATTTTTTGCTCTCTTCTGCATCAACTTTAGCTAGACAAGATAATGGCCTCTCTAACTAAACACTGAATAAAAAACAAAAAAATAAAATAAAAAAATGACAATGTAAAAGATTATAAGCACAAGATGATATCCTTGTCCTTACATAAACTAGCTGAGACCTAATTTACGTTTATCAGTATATAATCGATACGAAAAGACTAAGGTCAGATCTCTTACAAGCTATCCAAAACACCCAATTACAAAGTGTAAAATGCAGTGAATTTGCTCTTGTTTCTACCATAAAACAACTATAAATTGGCAGTAACATGAAACTGAAGGCAACAAATTCTTAAACACAATTTCTGTCATGGGCAATAATTTAAATACAAAGGGTTCTTTATTAGTACGTAATTCATTAAAAATTCAAGAAAATCTGAATGAACAGAGAAGAAGGAAAAGAAAGAAGAAAATAAGCTTACGGAATCATGAGTCAAGTAAGTGTCGCAGTAATCACAGTAGTACCTGATGAACAACAACAAGAGATAAATTTAACAAATTAAATCCCTCGAAAATTGGTGCGAATATGTGAAAAATGCCATAAACAAGAAATCTCACACAAGAAACAAAAAAAAAAAAAAAAAGGAAAGGATGAATATGTATCAGTACCGTGGCATTTAGCTCAGAAATTCGGCACAGTTTGATCTTTTTTGAAATATAAACTGTTCGGAGCAACGAGTAGGGAGATTGGCCGCGAAATTGAACGTAGAAAGAAGTTATGTGGAGATTGGAGTGGGTTTTGGGGACTATCTATCGATTAGGGTTTATAGGCGAGAGAGCGCTTTTCCCCAAATGGCAAATACTTTGTGGATTCATCATGGGTCGGGTGAAAGCCCACCCATTTGCACTCACCGGGTCAATAATTAGTAGATAGAGTTTTTTTTTTTTTT